GGTATACTTGGATTTACCCTTTAAAGCACAAATCTGAGGTTATTCACTACTTCACACAATTTAAAAATCTTGTTGAAAATCAATTTGAAAGAAAGATCAAAGCCATTCAATCTGATATGGGGGAGGGGGGGAATACAAAAGTTTGAGTAAGATTGCCTTTGAATCAGGGATTGAATTAAGATATTCCTGTCTATACACATCAGCATAAAACGGGAGAGCCGAAAGGAAACATAGGCACATAACGGAGACTGGTTTAACTCTGTTATCTCAGGCACATATGCCCCTCTATTACTGGTGGGAAGCATTTCTAGTAGCAGCCTATCTCATTAACAGAATGCCTAGTCCAGTTCTCCAACACAGATCACCATTTGAACTTCTTTTTAAAGACAAGACTAACTACCAACTACTTAAAGTATTCGGATGCTCTTGCTATCCATGTCTAAGGCCCTATCAAAAACATAAGTTCGACTTTCACTCTCAGAAGTGTGTTTATTTAGGTCCTAGTTTATCTCACAAATGGTTCAAGTGTCTTAGCCCTAGCGGTAGAGTTTTTATTTCCAGACATGTCATCTTTGATGAAAGATCATTTCCATTCAAAGAAGGATTTCTTAACAAAAAATCTCCAGACAAGCTCTCCTCTATCAGTCCCCATCACTACCTTTCGAAATTAGTTCTTACAAACCACTTACAAATCCATCTGAATCAAACTCATACAGTAGAACTCCAGACTCTGCTGATACAATGCACTCTACAGAAGAACCTGCACAAGAACTTCAGAATGAAAATGAAGGCAGGGATGTGATGATAAATGATGAAGGATCTGATATGATTCAGATACAAGAAATGGAGCAAAATGAATTAAACACTGATGTTCAGTCTGAGATCCCAGGGGGTGAAAATGAATTGACAAATGAGCCTGCAATACCAGAAAGAGATCAGGTAGCTGAACATCCTATGGTGATAAGATCTAAGGCAGGAATTTTCAAACCCAAAATTTTTGCAGAAGTTGTGACCAACTCATTAGATGAGATAGAACCAGTTAGCGTGTTTGAAGCCTTGAAAAGTGAAAAATGGTGCAAGGCTATGGAGGAAAAGTATGAGGCACTAATCAGAAACGA